CCCCCCCCCCCCCTTGGAACCCTAGTTGAGCTGTCACAGAGTAATTGTTTTCTTTTAGGGAGAACTGGATCTGCTGAAGTATTTTTTCATTATTATATCACCATATGGCTCCAATATAAAAAAAAAAGCCCGCCTCACTTATGAATAATGCTATTTTCAACACAAATAGCTGACATTTTTTCCTGCAGGAGAAGGTATATTCAGACAGTTTGTCCATTTACCAACAAAATTCCTAAAAATCTCAAACCTCCAGGTAAGCTAACATTCACAAATAAAACTTCCCACTGTAAAATACATTACTATTACAGAGCTTTAGCATTCTGGCCCACTCAAGACTGGAACACAGCGGAAGACTGCTGCTACCTCACTGCTGTGCTGTTTATCATCACATGTATTCAAATATCTCATTTTCTCAAGAGAACTCTAGAAACCTGAAACCTCCAGTAGCTTACTGAATACTAAAAACGGAAAAGAAATAATAAGTGACTAAAGCAATCAGTGGAACTGTGTGGTTACAAGTTATACTTTCAAGGCTGTATTGAAAAAAATGGACATAGTGATGAAATTCTAGCACTCCAGAAAGGTTCTTTCAGCATCATGTTAGTCCTTTCAGACAGCTGTAAGTCATTCTAAAGCCTCAAACTTCTGCAAAATTTGTTTTGTTTCTGAGGCAGTCCATCTCCACTCTACTCACCCACATACATAGAAGTAACCTCTCTCTTTCAGCAAGACTCTGGCAACTTCCTTAGCGTAAAGCCTAATGACATCTTGCACATATTTAGGTGGGGCTACTTCTGCAGTTGAAGTGTCTCTTGAGAAACAAACCTTAAGATGAGTTAATGTGCCGCTTTCAAGAAAACATTTGAGCTCATCTCTGAAAGGCAATAAAAACTGTTAGTAATGGCTCAGAGATAAGATTCCCTCATGAATACAAAATGAATGCTAAATAGTAAACTTGCTTGAACAAGTAGTCTCGATCCTGATGCCGACAACCAAAAAACAGCCATGTCTCTCCAAATTCCCAGTCTGTATGTTCTTTCCTGAGCATTTGCCTAAACAGACAAAAAAAACCCAAACAAACAAAAAAACCAAACACCTGCAATTCTGTTTTATCAAGTACAGAATCTAAAACATCTATAACCTAATTCTCATTTAAAGTAGTGCTTTAATAAACCTCTGGATTGGCAGAAATGTGAAATGACTTAAGGCAGATCATAGTCAAACCCTCCTTATTTGATTTTCTTGACTCCTCAGTTTTGGCCAAGGTCAAAATCAATCAACTTCAAAAGGGGCTTTTTTCTGCCAGTTTCATATTGGAATAGTCAAGACTGACACTTCCGAACAGCTCACAAAACAATCCTGACTGCTGAATAAGGAGATCGCTACCCTTTTTCCTTCACTGGAAGCCCTGTAAAAACACCTGGGAAAACTCGCACAAAGCAGATTTAGCATGCTTTGTGCAGATTAGCATTTAGCTGTAGAAACCTGCAAGACTTTGTAAGTAACAATCTATTTACTACCACATCATCAGAAGAGTTATTGCATTTTTTGAAATAATGCTGAAGGTATTACTTTAGAGAGCTTTTAGCTGCAACTTTCTAGTTATTTGAGAGAGATTTCATTTATCATTGATCAAATGCTTATGAAATGCTATGAATCCTTTAAAATAAAATGCAAAATATTTCTGAGAGATAAAGGTATATTTGGGCATTAAAATTAAGGAGTAAAGATCGTACATAATGATTTGGTTTAAATGGAAGTGTGGAGTCAGAAACATAATTTCTGACAAATTTCTGTCAAAATTTCACTTTTCTCTCAAATAAAATGATTTAAAATATTGTTACAGGATGCAAGAAACTCCATTATCTTGCTGGAACTAATGAGTCACAATAGAAATGATATGCGTTAGTTATCTAGAAAACTTGCCACCATTCCCATGCAAACATTCCATTCTTTTAATTCTTCATTTCCTCCAAATAATCATGTTTTTACATATTCGTGATGTGGTATCTGTCACTTTTTGAACAAACACCTCTCTGCCTTGCAAAATTATGCTGCTGGAGCTAGAGGGGAAAAAGGGGATCTACATTCCCTTAAATACAAACCCAAGACTACTGCCCAGTTGAGGGTTCAGGTGCCAAGTTCCTCATCTTAAAACATTAAAATGTTTAAAACACGCAGAAATAAGGGAATGTGGGAGAAAACCTGACATTCATCATGACAAGGCTTTTAATATAGATGCCACTTCTGAGGGAAATGGATTTTGAATACCAAACTTAAGCCAATCAACACTTTCTAAAAACTACCAACCTCTTACAGGACTTCCACTAGCAACACAGAAATAAAGGATTTGATTTCTTATTACTGTTTCTGCTTCACCCAACTCTTCATATATCCATTATGAATATTAAATACAGTCAGATGAAAGTGCAAGTTTTACTCAGAGAAACAAATAAATAGACAAGCACTACTTGTTTAAAATTAATAAGATTGTTTCTAATCAGCATACCACTGTTATAAAAGGTAAAAAGAAGGAAAAATAAAAATTAAAAAAATTAACTTAATTTGTACTCAAAACCTGAGGCTGTGTTTTCTTCAACATAAAAAGGCTGCTTTGCAGGTAACAACTTGGTACATACCTATGTTGCAGGAAACCAATAAATGGTGAAATTCCTGTTCCCGGACCAACCATCATGAATGGGACAGATGGGTCTGCAGGTAAGTGGAAAGTGTTATTTGGACGAGCAAAAATAGGTATCTAAAATGAAATTAGATAGAATACAATTAAAGAATATTCTTAAGCAGTGAAAATACCATGAATTTTTTATAACTTTCAGGATATTTACATAGTGTATGTGTCCATACACCCTTCCAAATCCTGAGATTCAGAGTTTACTTTTAATGCCACACAGACATTCAGAATAAAATTTCATGAGTTTCTGAAAAAAACCCACACCACATTTTCAAATCTATTAATCCATCTGGAGAAAAACCACACAAACATGGGTTTCTGAATATGAAAGTTGACTGTAAGCATAAATTTGGAGGATACTGTTACAGAATTCATGGAAAGTTTGGTGTTGGCACTTGAAGGGAAGTAAAGCTAGTTTACTGTTACTACAGGCAACTCAACTTTTTTTTTTTACATTGTGGACATCTAAAAATATTCCTAGTGGAAGTGAGGATTTTTTAATAGTGAATTGAAGCCTACTGATACTTTCTTAATTTTCATAAAAGTTTTACATGATCTTGAAAAATGCATATGGGTGAGGGGAAGCAGATAACTGCTCAAAGATCTTGGAAAATGGTTTATATCATTCCACCAATAAACTCCAATTCTGATCTTCAGATCTGTGGCTAAAATATAGGCCTAAATATAATTTTGAGAGGAGCTCTATCACTATTCTCTGAGGCATGGCTAACGTACTGTATAGAAAACAAGAGGTTACTACTTTTAATTCTTTAAAAAATTATTCAAGACTCAGCAGCAGCCATAGCAGAGCTTCATCCATTAAAGTCATAAACAAGCATAGGATTTATTTTGCATATTAATTATGAAAGAAATTGAATTTACTTTCAAGTTTAAGGAAGGAGTGAAGCACTAGACCAAGTGATTTAAACTTTGTTCTGTAAACCCAAGTGGTTTAGTACTACTCATTTCTCATAATTTAATTCACTACAGATACTGCAATGTTAAACAGGATTATTTTTCTGGTTTCATGATGATAAAAGAATAGTGTATCTTGCTGGTGGGATGCAATATCTGTATTTCTGTTATACTTACTACTTCAAACCACACTTGAGTTAGGAGGTTATTTTCCCAATTAATGATTCCAAACTGGTCATTCCTTTAAAAACCACTGCAAATGGTAAATATATTTATACTGTAAAGTGTCAATTAATCAAAGGTATTTTTGCATAAGATCACACTCACTATTTTGTGTTGATATTCAACATATTTCTGTAATCTATGAGTATTGCTGCACATTTATCTATGCTGAATTCTAGCTTGCACAGCAGATTAAAATAGTTATGAACTTTATTCAGACTCATTTTGTAATAACCCTTCTTTTCTTTTTAACTCCACCTCTCTTTCATGTTTCATCTTTTATATACTGCAAGTCAATTATATTTTAAATACAGAGCAGATGTGAATACTGGAATAAGATGTATGATGCACGTATTAATCAGGTTGTCTTTTGAGTTAAAAAATTAGAATAATTTGTATGTATTTTCCTTCCATTTTGCCAGACCAACACCTTGAATTAGTGGTAGTTTTTTTGTAACCAAATTCTATGCTTGTTTTCATTTTTCTTAATCAATTATAGAACAGACTGGCTGTAGTTCCTTTGTCATATTAATTATATAGTATAATTCAAAATTTTTAATAATTAGCTTACACCTAATAACTTTGAGACCAAAAAAAAAAAAAAAAAAAAAGAGTACCTTCTCCACCGTGACAAGTCATCTTTGATGCACATCAGAAATACCACAGATGACTGACCCCCGTGTCATATTCAATAACTTGGCCTCTGCAAACTGTGCGAGACCTGACAAGAAGTGAGTTTTATGATTTCTCCTCTATTATCTGTCATTCTTTCCTGGAAGTGACCAAGTTCCTCTCCTACACCACTTACAGTCATTACCATTTAATTGCACAGTAGTCCATGAAAACATCCTCCAAGATTCATTTAGGACAACAGTGGGGTGGAAACCAACACTGGCCTTTCAGCAGTGGAAAGTTTCACAACTCGGGTATCCATATAAATTTAGTAACTTATCAATGCAGTTCTAGACATGTTACAGAGGGAAGGGTAAAATTACAAGTAGGGTAAAATTGCAAAAGGAAGGTGTATACTGCCAAAACACCTGCATTACATCAGAGCAGTGACCAAAGAAACCTGTAGTTGTTTCAAACATGCACAAATTTAACAGTTAACGAGTTTAGGTGTAATCATACCTTTTCAGTTAAAGAGCTTCCTCCTTCTGTATCCAGAGTGTTTTTACTGGGGTGCAGTAGAGGTGCAACTAATTCAGCAAGCCACCCTGTACATACTCCTTTCCGTGAGACTGGTCTAGCAGGACAGGCAGGGAACTCCACAACATTAAATACAAACCATAGTTTTCCTGGCTGATATAAGTTTGAACTGCAAAGACAAAAGTATAAAAAACCCCCGAAACCTGAGAAATAAGCTGTACAATCTTACAGCAGTGTGCTGGGTTTGTGTGGTGGGGTTTTTGGTAGTGGGGGAGGGAGCCGCAGCGGTGGCCTCTGAGAAGCTTCTCAAAGCTCCCCTGGCTCCAAGTCGGACCTGCCTCTGGCCAAGGTTGAGCCATTTAGTGAGGTGGCTATGCCTCTGTGGTAACATATTAAAGGGACCTGAGAGGGGGTTGGAACTTTGAGGACAAGTTACAAGGAGGACACCTACGAGAACACTGAGGTCAGTGGAAGGAAGAAGGAAGAAGCAGGGGAGGTGTGCTGGAGCAGAGCCTCCCTGCATCCCGTGGTGAGGCAGCAGGGCCGCCCCTGCCACCCATGGAGGAGCAGATTCACCTGTGGCCTGTGGAGGACCCCCAGGACTCTGTGGGAAGCAGCAGCCCCCACTGTTGTAGTTTGGTGCTGGGAGGACTACAACACGTGGAGGTGACCCACAGCAGAGCATCTCGAGAAGAATGCATCCATGGGGAGGACTCGCAGAGTAGAGAGTTGGTAGAGGACTGTCTGCAGTGAGAGGGACGCCACGTGGAGCAGGTGGAAGAATGCAGAAGATGCTTCCCCCCACCCTGGAGGAAGAGGTGGCAGACTAACTGCAACCCATATAACCCGCCCCTGCACTGCTGGAGAGAGAAGGTAGAGATATCGGAAACAAAATTGAGACAGGGACAACAGGAGGGGTAGTGGGAGGTGTTTTAAAAGATATAGTAACACTTATCACTGTCTCATTCTGTCTGTTAAGTGTAGTTGTTAGTGTTTTGAATTAAAGTGATGTCTTCTTTTTTTCTTCCACTAACTACCTGTCTTTTGCTTGTGACCATAATAGGTAAGCCACCCCTCCCTGTCCTTATCTTGATTCCTGAGCCTTTTGATTCATTTTCCTCCTTTCCAGCACTGGAGGAGAAGGGGCGAGCGAATGGCTGTGTAGTGCTCAATTGCCCTCTGGGCTCAAACCATGACAGGCAGGTACATCTGCAGCCCAAACTAAGTCAATTGAATCAAGATTCTGTGTTCAGCTGTGTGATATTTCTATATAGTTAGAAAACATCTTAAGCTTGGACTCAAGAGGCCAGAGCCTTACAGAAGGGAATCCAAATTCCTACCAGATTCACATCTGTGTGAGCTTGTTCTTGAGAACTCTACCAACATCCTGACAGACACATAAAGCAATGTTGTTTAAAACAGTCAAATCCTGTGGTTGTTTTTGCAACAGGGACACAATCATTTTTTCCTAAGGTTTTATCCTTCATTCCTCTTTCTTCTTTAGATTATAACACACACACATACACACACATTTGAGAAAAAAGCATACCTAAATTATCAAGGAGATACAATTTGAATATGTCATTACCTTGACACTGAATAGGACCTTGCTTGCAATTTAGGAAGATGTTCTGAAAAATAAAAATAAGAAAGCATCACTTATTATTTGTATCACTAATGAGTGTTCCCACTATAACAGATTACAAGCATATTATAATTTAACTGTAATTTTACTCTATTAACATTGTGTTTGTGGTTCAAAAATAAGCTATTAACACGTTGTGGAATAATTATTGGAGGTGACTTAGAAATCAAACCTATATTAAAAGCATAGCATTGTTCACACGTTAAGGAAAGGTATAACATCCAAGAAGCTTCCGGAGTGGAACACAACTGGTATGCAAGGAATATATTCCGTAGTGGTTCCCTGGACAGTGCTACCTGCAAAATAGCATGGAGGGTGGAGCGGAGTGAAGGCTCTGTGGCCAGGTTCTGCAAATCATGGCAGAGATGGGAACTTCATGGTACTATGGTACTGATAAGTTGCATATTTGCCACCTTGGGCCAACAGTCTGTCATATTCTGACAAAATGCTGTCCTTTGTCTGAATTTTGCTCATTGTAATACCAAAACACACCTCTATCCCAAAGCCTGAAGTGCTGTCACCCCTCACTGAGCTTGCGCTCTGAATTTTTGTTAATCTGTACCTTTAAAAGCAAAGCAAGAGAATCTTACATCAATCATAATAAAGGTATGTATGACTAGAGTCACTCAAACTCTGCCTTGAACATAAAAAAATGTATAAAAATGGCCTGAGAAAAAGGGGAATGCTGGGGGAAGATACCATTGTGAACAAGTCAGGGAAGATACTGCCTCTGACTCCTGGGATCAGTCAATGGGCTGAATCTTTCCCCCCAACACAGGGATGTCTTTGGGTAAGATCCAGACCATTCTGAGTGCTTGCTTGGAAAACTTAGAAATCTATATGCAGAGCTGTTTTTCAGTTTCACACACTGTATTATTTATAATCTCAATATTTGCATGTGCTTTTTCAGACAGTATATTTATCACCCGTAATCCATAAGAACCTGTACTTCTGTTGCTTTAATAAACTGCGCTATTTGTTACGCTAGCCATAAAAGTTTCTCTCTGGGTGCCACCAAACTCTCTAAGTCCGGCTGTATAATTCCATAGAGCATTACTAAACTGGAAGTGCAGTGGGTTGTTAGTGCATCTGTGATCGTGATAGTTCAGTAAGTTGAATGTGACTGGACTAATAGTTACAAATTGGGTATCAGAATCTAAACGTAGCCACCCCCAGCCCCTCTGACATCTGAGGATAAGCTGGAATGCCATGAGGTTTATTTTCTGACAAATTACTTTAGTCTTTAATGTGACTCACTTCAACTCTGTTTTGAATGTTTTTTAGGCCTTGTGCAATGTTTGTTAGAGATCCAATACAATGAGGCCACAACAGTTAATTTATGGGGTTCTTGGTCAATTAAAAACAACTTTAAGGTTCCCAGAAAAAATGTCAGTAGCTAGTGGACAAGGTGAAACTTGAAATTTAATCTTCCTCACTTTTAATCTAAGAACTCAAAAGCTCTCAAAATAGGAATTGCTTGATTGAAAGTTTCCTATATATAATTTCCTAGAACCAGATGTGCCAGCTCAATTTCAAACCACTATGAGTAGCTATGCAAATTTTTCAAATCATAGCTAAAAAAAACATAGACAGGAGCTTATTCAGCATTTTTTCAATGAGAAATCCACTATATATTTCACACACACACATTTATATCTATGCATGTATGTACATATACAGAAAAGTTCAAACTCACTGCTGCCTTCAAAGAAATGACTTGAATGCATGCTACTCATTTTGGCTGAGGAGAAGGGCATATTAAAAGACATCAGACATATCACTAAGTGAACAATGTGGTGTGGAATGGTGACAATAAGTGAGAAAAATTTGACATAGCATATAGTGGAGTAATAGGGTAACATATAGCTTAACTGCTTTTTAGTTGTTTTTCCACATGTACCATCCTTTTGCAGATGTTCCAACCAGTACATGGACACCCTGACATATTTTAAAGATACTCTGCTACAAAAGGTAGTTCCAAGTCAGAGATAAGAAAAGCTAATTCAGTGAAATCACTTAAAGACAACACTAATCCCATTCAGCACATTACTTCCCTGGGGGAACACATTTAAAAAATTTTCAACATTTCCTTTTATTCAGTTTAGTTACTACAGCACATTCCATACCACCTTTGAAAAGCTAAGTGGTTTTGCTTTCACTGTGAAAATTCATGTATTTGTATAAAGTGGAGCAGAGCTTGTATTTATATTTTTTAATCACTGCAGAGTACTAAGAAGGAGAGATTTGGGGTAGGTGTGGAGATGACTGCAAGAACATAAAAAGCATTTTTTTTTTTTTTTTGTTTCATATAATGAAACATATTAAGAAATACTCGTTTTTAATCTGGAAAACAACGGCCAGTATTTTAAGATGTGTTTGAGATGGTTACAGTTGGAGTCTCATTCCTTCAATGTTTTATATAAGGAACACAGTGTGTCAGACATTAAATAAATACAAATATACTGGGAAAAGCTTTCTGTTTTAACAGGTAAAAGTGCAAGAAAATAACACATAGGCAGGGAAATCTTTTCTAATTGTAAGCAGTTGATGAACCATTTCTTAAAGACCCCAATCCTGCAAACACCTTATGGTTATTTTTTTACACACAGGAGCTATCCGGAGTCAATTAAAGGATAGGTATGTACCTAAATGTTTAAAGAATGAAGGCCAAAGACTACAAACTAGAGAACAGAGCTTTTTTCCCCAACAACAGTTTTAGTTTGATCACTATGGATACTATAATATTTCTAAAGCAGTTAACCAAACAGTTATTCTCCTTTCTTGAAAATTGAACATTTAGTCCGATGCATTTTCAGAAACCAATCTAATTAAACTTATATCAGTCACTTACCAATTAACAGGTTAAGTGAAGGCTTGCAGCTTGGAAAAGCATGAAGTAAATCCAGCAAGCAAACATTAGAATCTCTAATAAAGCGTGTGTAATCAGAGGCTCCTTGTCTGCTGCAAAGTTCTTGAAGCCTCCGTTTTTCTCCTGCATCACTGGTACATTCAACAAGAGCTCTTAAAAATGCCTGCGGGGAAAAAAATAAGAGTGAAAGGTAAAAAAAATTGTCTATTTGGGAAAACGGTCACAAAACTGGGAAAAACTTGGGTTGCCTGGGGACAGGAAGCAATCACCTGCCAGGTTAATGGATAAAACAGTTCACTTCCCAATGTACATTTTCACCTACTAGGAAAAAACATCAGAAAATCCTAGCCTGAGCAGGGGCAAGACAAATAAACAGGCACAACCCATTCCTTAAAAAATCCCTGATTTATGAAAGGACCTTCTTATTTATGTATATGCCCTTTAGTTAAGTAAACAGCTCCATAACACAAATTAATTCAAGACAAAACACCATTTGCTAAGTTATAGAAGACAGGAAAGGAATAATAAAAAGTCTTAGAAGAGGTATTACTGTAAATAAAGTATGGTATTTAATGAGTCATGTAAATATCGCTGTGGTGTTTTATTTCATACTTTATGCCTACATAATGGTACTGGCAAGCTTTTCTTAAGGGAAAATTAAATTCCGCATTGTAAGATAAAGTAAAAATCAGATGTAAAAAGTTACAAGTTTTTTTCCAAAAGCAAGATGTAAATAGACACAGTACATAAAACGAAAGTGAACCAGAACACCAAGTACAATCGATGACATATTCTAAACAAAAAAATACTTAGAAAGTAATTTGAGTGTGCTCAAACACTGAGCTTCCAGACAACAGTTTTGAGTATGGAGTAACATAAAGCACATTCTACACTGAACAGGTAATAAAGCAGATAGGTTATAAAAACTGGCTTGGGCGATATTCCCCAGCCAGTACTCTCTGCCTACTCTTATTGTCAAGACAAATTTTCAAAATTGTTAAATGCAGTTTTGAAAAGGTTGAAACAATTGGAAGATCCCTTTCTGCTGCAAAATTCACTAAATTGAATGAAAAGGTCCTTCCAAAACCTGATTTTCCTCAAGAGACCCAAACAACAACTGCTTAGCTTCATCCTTCATACAAAGTTATCTTTAAAATGTGTTTTGACAATACCAGACATATACATGCATTTCCAGTTGCAAGCTTTCAGTTTTTTGCCAGCACAGAATGAAAGGAAAATAATATTCACACATTGTGAGAACAAATATACAAACAAATAAACAAAAAAATCTTTCTTCATATACTCTCAGGTTACTGAAATGCTAAAGAGGAGCTTTAAAATAATTTAAAAGACATTATGGTACCTATATTTGCATACAGCAATATGTGTATTTTCAGTCTTGACAAATTTTGACAGATATGGCACCCTCTGATTAGAAAGAATGACTTCTCTAAAATGCCTATGGGGCCAAGTTCTACCAGCCTTCCTCCCAGTTATCTGGCACCAAATATCTAATACTTTTCTATTTACTTCCAGACTAGTTATGAATGAAGATACTGCAGAACGGGAACAGAGATTTCAGTATCTCCACAGTTTGCCAGATAAGGTACCAGAAGTGAAATTTCTCAAAATAAAGTACGAACAGCAGCATACAAACTGACAATCCTTATTCACCAAGAAACATGGTAACTACACACAGAGCAAGGATAGATCTGTAAAAGCCCACAAAGCACAGCATTACTAAGGATTTATCTTTAAAAGAAGAAACACAAACACCTTTTTGGGAATTGCTCTTATTTCCAGACACCAGGTTAGAATGAATTTCAGAGTGCTTCTTTCAGGGATATGTTGTGGGTGAGCGGCTCCTAGTTCAGTGGGAGAAAAAAAAAAAACAAGAGAAAACATAACATGCATCTATTAACATCAAAAAATGGCATTACAGAGTGTTTGTTCCTTCAAGAAATAGAAGGGCGCTAAACTGCATTCAATTCTGTATGTGTGAGCCATAGCTCATTAGTGGAAATTATAAAATAAACAGCAAGACAGTTTTCCAACGAAGTATCAATGTAAAATTCAGTGGAGTTTCTGGTAAATCTTAAAGATGCAGAAGAGGCATAGCCTGCTGTTCAGGCTCTGCTCTTCTCCCAGGTTTTTTAGCTCTCTTCATTCAGTAAACCCACAACCAGAATAGTTTGTAGTAACTATTACAAATTCCTCAGAAATGTGAATGCACAGTTAAAAGACAACCACCTCAAAAGAAATCAGCTCTGGAACATTGCTAGGAATTGCAAAGCTGCATTATAGAGCTCAATTCTTTGGTACAGATTGGCAGCAACAAGTAATGAAGTTACAGCAACTCAATGGAGTGTCTGCTCACCAGCACATGTCCAAAGAAATGAATTTGGGTTTGATCCTAAGCCATTTACCTTGATAACTGCAGTGGATAGAAGTCAGTGTATAAGGCATGACTGGAGATCAGTTGGATCGGCAGCAACCTGCTAGGTCCTGGCCAAGTACCCAAGGAAAGTGTAAAAAGTCAGCATGATTTGCTCTGGGTCACCCAGAAGACTCAAGAGCAGAACCAAGAACTCTGATTCCCTGTGCTGCAATGATCTTCCCTGCCATTATCGCTCATTAAGATTCATAAACAGGCATGCCATTTTACATAGGTATGGCAAAATGCTGCATAAATAATGCATAATTTCACCCTTTTTTCCCTGATTACTGCTACATTAGGCAGCCAGATATGCAATAACCTGGATTATTTACACACAGAATGAGAGCACCAATATTCCACGTTTCACTCAATTATTTCAACAACTTTGCCTTGGAAGGACAGTTTTTTGGTATACAAGAACAATCAAAGGGCTAAGATAGTCACTTAGCTATATGGGCTCTGTTCCACATGGAAAGTGCTCTGACACTGATGAACTCTTAACTGTTAGGGCAGCTTTACGTCCTTCCTGTAACATCATTATAGCAGAAGAAAGGGAACTACTGTAGGCAGGAAGGACAGAATATCTTTCTGTGCCTGTCCAAGCAGACCTTCCCTTTGAACATGCTGTTGACACTGTCTTTAACTTACAGAGAGATTCAAATTTTACACAGCCAGGTAGCATGGGTCTGATTTGCACAGAAAAACCTACTAGCCTTCAGGGGGGGTGAAGTTTCAAGCCTAGGAAACTTTCCTATGAAGATCTGATGCTTTTGGGCCTCCATTACCTCCTCCTTCAGTATACTCTTCCCTTTTAATTGTTTCCCTTGTGATTGTGCTTGATTCTGTAAAATCTGTAAGTAGTTTAAACAGTAGAAGGGGCATACCTGTGAAATCCCACCCACACCACCCAATCTCTTGCTGCTTGCCTGTGTGCAGTTGTTGGGCCCTGAACAGGGTGACACTGCCTTTAGTTTGAGGGTGCTCAGGACTAGGTAACAGTCTGACCAGCCCGGCACATGCAGGGCTCAACCCCAGGCTGTAACCAATACTGGCTCTGCACCATATCTAAGCAGTGACCCCTCTCCAGCAGATGTTAGATACTGGAGTGGGCAGCAAGGATGGGGATGAGCTGGGCCTGGACATCCCACATGACATGTTGCAACATGGCCTGTCATATAAACTCACCTCATCAACAAGTGAGTTGTTTGCCAATCATGTCTCATACTTAAGGGACAGCTTTTGTTGCCCTCAATTATGCAGGACATCTCACCATGGGAACTGATTTACCCATAGAATGGAAACAAGGAGCCCTACCTGACCCTGCAGAACTAAAGGCACAACTCAGGAGCACCATTAAGACACCAACTGCAAAGCAAGAAAGGAGTAATTCTCACAGGTCAAGCTGGCAGTAAATAGGCATACCTTGAACCTGCAGCTAACCCTTCTGAGGCATTTCATAAGACTCAACAGAACAGATCCACAGCTGCACAGGCCCCTAAGTCTTCTGCTTCAGGCATGTGACCCTCTTAGGATGTAAAACATATTGATGAGAAGTGCTGTGCAAGGAGAGATTTTACTTTCAAGTGGGGGATTATTAAGTTATGTGATTAAGGACTCGTCTCCATGAACATGAAGGACCGCAGAGAAAGAATGAGATGGATGAATGCCAATGCCAGGCTCAAGTTCCCAGTTAGAAGCTAACTTATGTATAGCAAAAACAGCAAGAGCATTCTGTGTGTCCTCTCTTTTTTAACACATCTCTGTGACTTCCAACATGCCTCAATGAAATAACAGCTGTGTCCCAAGTATGCATGCTAACTACTACCAATACAGAAAGGAGTATTTGTTCATGACCAGTGCATCACACTGTACCTTTCTTTTTAGTGCCCTGCTTAACCTTTACACAAACGAAGAACTCTCCTTTTTCAGAAAGTCCCAAGATTTGAAGAAGTTCTTCTACCTCATTGACATTGTTGGGACACATTACACAGAAGGCATCTCCAGGCTGGTAGTCGAAGGCTGTATCCTATTTTAAAATATGAGATAATTTCTATTAAATTGTATCATAAACCAAGGCAAATAGCATCCCCACTCCTAACAGCAGCAATTTTCCTACTAGCACAGTCACATGAAGTCCTATGTTCTCTTACTCTGTACTAGCACTTCACTGTTTGGATCACATCAGAAACTCATGTCTTCTTTTCAGGTTTAACCTTACTAAGTAGAAAAATCTTTCCTTATCTGGTTTAAATATTTGGACACTCTTTAATAAGAGCTGCTGAGCAGCCTAAACAGAAGAATGCGTTACATAATCAGTCCAGATCATTAATTACTGATGTACTTTGTTTTCTGGCTTGAGAAGAGCAGAGAAATGAAGTCCTCATAAATAATGTGACTTTGTAGAGAAACACATTATTGCTAAAAGAAAATTTGTTGTTAAACTATTTGATAAACTGTGACTGAAATGACCCCAACTATTTTTGGAGCTAAAAAAGAAAAACAGCAAGGGAAGAGCACAGTGAAAATCAGAAGGTGTCTGAGATCTTAAGACCTAGATTCTACTTAGCTGGCCAAGGTTCTTGTGCCGAACTGCTAAAACCCTACTCAAGCTTCTGCCTGTTACAGAAACATAGAGAATTATACTTGCATCATTATGTTTCCCTTACGCATCAGGCAAGGTGACCTGTATAGACAGGCTGTTGAGAATGTGAGGAAAAAAAAGGCACAAAACATTCAAATTTTCAGTGTGTTGATGACAGGATACATGTATACATACAGATATATGCAAAACCCCATGAAATCTCAGAGACTTGCTCAAAACTTAGTAGACTATTTATAACTGAGATTTAAAGATGTCCCAGGGAAACTGACACAGACTAGGCTAACAGAGTCCAATAAAAGTTACTACCAAAAGCACAATATTCCAAAGGATAATTTTACAAATTTGGAAAACCACTCAAAAGGAACATATTTTCCTTTTAAAGATTTCTTGGAGAGTAATATCGAGCATTCTCCGCTTTTCATCTTCAAACCAGTATACAAAATGTGATCTTCCCTGAATAAACTAAATCAATTTTTATGTCTAGGGTAACAGAAGTTGACAGTTTGAGTATGTTTACATGTCAGAGCAAATGAACGTCAGAGGCAAAAACAGTGCTCAAGAGCTAACGATTCTTATCACTTAAGTAATAATTCAAATAGTATGATCATGTAGATTATCTGCCACATGGAATAGTCACAATTTACTACACAATTTCTGAATATTTCCTAAATTGTATACTTACAAATGAAGGATTATTCATTTTCAATACTCCCTGCTTGCCCTTCTCCACTGTAATTCCCTTCAAAAGGTATTGCAGTCAATACAATATCCACGGAACAATAAAGAAATTAATTTGACACTTTATTTCTGCTTTGACTTCCATGGAGTTATACCTTTCAATAAGTAAATCATGCTTTGCATTTGCAAAATGGATCAGCCTAAGCTGACATTCTGTTGTATAGGGAAATATTTTTTTTTTTAAACAGTCAAATTAATAATTTTCCCCCGTTATGTATTATACATTCCGCCCTTCATTTTAACCCACTAAAGAAAAAGCCATCACTAACTTACTGCAACATTAAGTTCTAAGAGCAATGCAGTTTTTATCGCATCTTCTCTGGTGAGCTGATATGCTTTTGTAACTGGCACTTCAAAGGTTGTTCCCTCTGAAATCAGTGAGGACAGATGTGGATTCTGAAAGAGGACACAAAAAATTAAAGCTAAAAATTTATGACATCTTATATGACATACAAGAATTATTGTTGGTACAATTTTTTAAAAACAATCTTAGAAAACAATTCAAAACAATGAAGAAAAACATGAATCTTCTATATAGATAGTGTTTTGCTCTACATTTGGAAAAAAAAAAAAAAATCACATCTACACAGTACCAGGCATATATTCAAATATAAAAAGTCAGTAGGCTTGAACAGTCTAATGCGCCTAAATGACTATCAAATGCAGCTAGATGTTTCCTTTTTCAAGAGCTGCCTTGAAAATAGCCAATTAGAAAATGGCATTTATGTTAAAACCCAAAACCCTCCTGCCTAATTAAATGATTACTAGGTGTACAGAATAGACATAAGAAGTAAAACCAGAAGCTATTTAAAAACATCACGGCAGATTTACAGATTAAGACTGTGGGGTGCAGATGGGGCTATAATTAAAGGCAATTTATGAGAGAAATTTTTAAAATTACAGTTAAATGTAGAGCTAATCAGCAAACTCCACAACACAAAACAGCATCATGTTATGCCACATTTCTGCGCTGGTGAAAATGTGCCCTAAGAATTGTGAGTGGGCACCAAGAGCAATTCCAGATCACCTCTGTCAGACTGTCACTTGAAGATCAGACTACAGCCCTCATTCCTCCATCACTATCGTCAGCAAGCTTCATTTGAGATCGATACAGACAAATATGGAAAGAGGTGGGAGATACCAAATGTCCCCAACACCACTCTGTCAAATGGAAAGGAATTATTCTACTAGTAAAAGGATACTGATTAATCTAGATATTTTCTATTAAAAAAAAAGTAGACAGGAGAATCACTTGAGACCAACAGTTAGAAGTTTTATTATTCTCTTAAATGGGACGAGTTTTCTCACTTTCATCCTTCCAATTCTCTCCCCCATTCCACCTGGGGGGAGTGAGAGAGCAACTATATGGTGCTTAGATGTTAGCTAGGGTTAAACCACAACAGAGCACTGTAGCACCACTTTCAACCCAAGTATTAGTCTTTAATCAAAGAGTACCTCTAAACCATAAATCTTTGTTTCAGTAATTTGGATTATTTAATTCAACCACCTGAGCAAAATGAACTACAATATGAGGTTTAAAAGAAAAGCAAAATTATTCAGTGTTTAAATTCATACACTCTTACATAATTGTATTAGCTAGACTAAGTGATTCTCTCAGCAGTACCACTGGCACTCTCAACAGAGCGTGTCAGGGCCCTGAGGATACTAACGGCCTTTCATGGTCCTAACCAGCCTCACTGGAGAACTCTGTCCCCAGCTCTTCTTCCCACGGGCCCAGGAGCCTCAGCTCAGATCAGCCCTGGGCCTTCAGTCCCTGACCGAGCTACATCACCTGAGTACTGGTCAGCAGCTCGGCCACAACCATGCCCATGCCTCGCTACAGACCTGTTGATCCAGGCCTGGATCTGCAGACCAACTTCCTGGCTTGGCCCCAGACCTGCCTCACTCCTGCAAAGTTGCCCAATGGCCTGCACTCTTGACTGATCTTGGCTGCCACCTCCTGGTTTGCATCACTTGGCTATCAGGGGACAGGGCTGGTTGTGTTGCTTAGCGTCTGGCTCCCTGTCATTTAACGAGCAGCCAGACCTCACTGCTCCCTCACACAGATAACCAAAATGTCTGCCCTTTGGCAGGCAACCAGAAAAGTTTGTCATGATTTCTAGTTAATTTTGAACACTAAATATGCTAACTGGAGATGATTCCCAGCTCATGCTATTTCTTCTCTTTGTACAGCAAGTCTTTGTTCAACAAGGCTTCATAGGAAAAGCACAGTGGCTTTTGAACTACAGTTCATCTTCCATTTCCAATGGTAAAATTATGATCATGTTTTTATAACAAGTTTCTCTATTATTAAATATGCAGCAAAGTTCTGAGCAATTTTACACCCTCTTAAGGCATTCTGAAAGTACTAAAAATCTGAACAGAAATTGTACTATACTCATACTACAGGAAGTTGTTTTCACTGTCCTAACATAAGCCACTGAGGACTTTATCACTCTTCCATTCCTGGCACTACAATGCCAAATTATTATTTAGCTAAATTATACCCTGACATAAGTGTCTGTAAGTCCTATGGTGGTAACTACATTTTCACAATATGAACAGATCTTTCACTTACAATTCAAAACCCTATGTCCCTGAACGCACAATCTCCTTTATGTAAGTATCAATTTGCTCTTTGGAGCTGTATGTAGGAGTGTACACTCATGCTCCTACCAGAGCTGGAGGCTTTCATCATTCAAAGTGAAGTCCTTACCTCACCATGGGTGCCCTGAAACTGCACCTCTATATATTCTGGTGGCAAGGCAGGAATATTAAGAGCAGAGTGAGAGACAGGAGGGACAGAATGAACAAGTGAAGGTTCAGTGTCTCTATTTGAAGCCACAAGACTGATGTCAACCAGTTTCTGTGATAGGACATCAGAACTCCTCTCTCCCTCATCTTCTAGCTTCAAGTTCTTTACTTCTGAGCTTAAATTTAGTTCATGCACAACATGCGGGGCTGCAGAGAGAGAGCTGGAAACAGCATTGGCAACACTGCTCATGCCTTCTTTTTCTTTCTGCAGTAGAAATGTTTCCTTGAGGGCAGGCCAAAGTCCATCAATCCAAGGATCAACCACTAACTCCAAACTGCAAATGGATTAAAAGAAAAAAAAAAGGAGATGGATTAATTATTGTGACTTACTGGACTGTTACGTTACAAATAATGAAAAGACCACAAAAGCTAAAAACACTATTCATTTTCCATTTTTAATATGCATCTGTGGCTGTTACCAAGATTACCTTTTTGTTAAAAAAATATTTTAATTCAGTTATTACAACTACGCAAATTTATGGAGTCTAAAGTGTTGCTCTTCTTCCACTTTCTCATTTTTATTTTCTTATGCTGAACTTTATGACAGGAAGTTGAAGGGATGGTAGCAAAACATGCAACTTTTCATCGTGCAACAGCAACATCAATAGCTTACACTAATGTTCTATTTTTATTCTTTTAGAACACAAGATAAAAGTTTTATGATTATGGCAATGTTTGTGTTCAACTGTCTTGCATCATCATGCACAGAACCGATATACTCTGCAGTTCAAAATAAATAAGCCAAGACTGCAGACTACTGGTCAGAAAGAGCAACAGAACAGGAAGGGAGTTATTTTATTACATAATTCCTCTACAGCAATCGAAAAAACCTTCTTACATAATTTCTCTATAGTGATCAAAACCAAACAAAAAAGATGTTTTGCAGAAGAGAAAAAAAAACCCCACAACATTGTAGGGTTTCTGTAAAGCAGCTCTACTGCAAGATGTGAGCTTGAATAAAAGTCTGATCTTTATGTAAAAAGGGATCTTATTACCCAGTACCACACGTAATGGGAACTGGATTTATTTTTATTTGCTTCAGTAAACAGACTACATTTTTAAACCCCTGCACTTATTCTGAACTAACTAATTTCTAGATTTTTTCCAGACATTACAGATGTTTGCTCACACTTTAAAAATGGAGTTTTATTTAATGGCAGTTGAGGTTGAAAAGGCATACTGTGTTCAGACAGGGCTCATTCCTATGTGGTGCTGAGTATTCAAATTCAAATTTCAAAGAGTTCAGACCAATTAGACAAATTCACATGTAACTACTGCATCTTGAAGAAATAAAAATCAAATTCATTCAGCTCTTACCCTACACAATCATCTGCTAATCCTGTGTTGTAGAAGTGCTGGGCACCAAGTTCTTGAAGTCGTTTGTCTACTGTCTTTCCACCATTACAAAAGAATGTGTACTCTGAATCTCCCAGACCTAGCAAATTCAAAAGAGCAATCATGTCAGTCAGCCAGCCAGCCACACAAGATACACAGATCTGCAAAGGCAACACAGGATTTTGTTGCAGGCAAACAAAAGAATCTGATATAGCAAAGTGAACATTAGCAGGACACTTTTATAACATTCAAAAAAACCATGTGTTTGTCCCAAAGTAGAGCTGAAAAAGTGGTTCCTCCTCATACACTGATACTGATAAACTGTATGTGAATTACCAGAAGAAACTATTTCACCTTCATTGTTAATATATGTCAACAATGTAAAGGAGAGTATGAAAAGTACTTCAAAAATATTGGAACCTTGAAAAAACATAATAAAACACAGGAGTATTTTTAAACAATATGAAGAGAGAAATGTAGGAAAATGTGCATGAGAAAATTTGGTCCAATATCCTCCTCCCCAGGAATCAGATTTCTTTGTAGATCTCATGTTTAGTGTGCTGGGTTTTCTGCCCTGTAACAGTTGTAAAGATGTTCTATTATAAGAAGATACTCATTGTTACCACTTTGTCAGTGGACTCAGGAGTTATGTTCATGGACAACCCAAGATTTTAAGAGATCAACTAAACTGGCCCACACTAAAAGTGATCAGTCACACATACCTCATCATTATCCAACAATCCCAGAACCCCAGCAGAAGCATTTTGCCAAATCTGTATTTTTCATATCAATCCTTAACCTAGAATGTTTAATAGAACATTCCTTCTATTGATGAGTATGACATTCAAAATTTTAAAAATTATTGCAAATGTAAAGGGATAGGATGATCTTAAAACCTTAAAGAACATTTTATACTGCCTTTCCTTTAATATAGAAAAATGCCCAAGTACTTCTAAGTCAAGTAAACTTATCTAGTCCACAGAGACTAGACACAGAATTAAAACTTCAACAATTATAGATAGCTTATATCATATGTTGTTTATGAAAAGAAAATCAGACTATAAAAAAATTCAATTGGTAGATTACATTCAGATCATTTCTGTGACACTGTTCCTTTATTGCTCATAAAGGACATTACAGAAAAAAGCTGTTTATGTTATAAATGTTTTATAAGCACTTAAAAAAAACCAAACAACCTATTCACAAGTAAAAAATATAAAAATTATTCACTGACAGACTAGTGCTGCAATAATATAGAAAATATTAAATCACCTAGCAATCCATACTGGAGATGTGCGAAATGATCAGCTGGCAAGGTAGTGTCTTGAATTTTCTTTACAAACTTGCGGGCAGTGTCTGGTGGATCTCCAGTACCAGTAGTGGATATAACAATAACTACAGGATCCTTTTCTGTTTCCAGGTTATACTACAAGTAATACAACAAGTAAGTTACAAGGTGCCATTTGATACCTATTTCTGGCCTTAAATATTATCTTCTGCCTTTCCTCTTCCCAAAGGTACACAGAAAAATGTTTAATCTCATCTTACTTGTATTAAACTGCAGAAAGTATTCAAGTAATTACAAGTAATTTTGGATATTACAAGTTACTTTGGTTTGAGTTTTCAAGAGCAGCCTGGCTAAAGCCCTGAGGAATCTGTTCTGACCTCAGCCGACCCAGCTGTGTGATGACCTCATGAAGTCCCTGCCAACCAGAATTAGCCCATGATCCCATATAAAAACAAAGAGCAGCATTTTGAGGAGGCTAGTACACACACAAAGAATACTTCACAACTGCACTCAGCTTAAATACACAACTCCTACAGTATTTGCTTTGTCAAGTGGAAAAAATATTTTTGTACGTACAATCACAATCACACAGACATTATCCTAGTAATTTCACTGATAACTGGGATGTGGCTGTACAAGGATGTGGCTGTACAAACTGGGGATCATTTCTAAGGTCCATTAGGGATCATTTGGTTCTGTCTAACTTCCATGTTACATCTGTCTTTGCCACAAAAAAACTCCTGTGCTTTGGGGGAAATAAGGTAGCTCCGCACAGAGATAATCAGTCACGGTGCTCTACAGTCTGATTCATTTTGGCCCCTTCCCCCTGTCATCAGTTCATTTCTCCCCCCTTTGCTAATACCAAGCTTCCACATTTCCCATAGTTTTATAGGGGTTTACTCCCATTACACCAGGTCGACGAGAACTGCCTATATTTGGGATTGTGCATCAGTTCCATAAATTCAAGTCTCATGCAATCATTTATTACTTCTCATGTAAAAAAACATTCTGTTTCGTTGATTATTTCAGCTTTCCTCTGACAGCAGGCAGCAGCACTGTGCCAGCATGCTGTCTCTCAGGTCACCTTTCACAGCACCCCTATTGGGCTACAGGTCTTGAATCACATGGATAGCTATAGCAACCTATGCAAAACACAGCTCCACGGAATCACAGACACCTTGTTCAGGAGTGACCTCTGGAGATCACCTAGTCCTGACCCATGTTTCAATGTGGACTAACTGCCAACTGCCTTAGGTCAGCTATGGCTCTGGCTGAATTTTGAAAATTTCTAAGGGTAGAGATTCCACTTTTCTAGGCAGCCTCTTCCACTCAGAAGAGCTTCTCCACTAGTATCAAATCTGTTTATCAGGCTGTACTCAGTGAATTTTGCCTGCTGTTGTACAGTCTTCTGCTGCCAAGAGTCTGGCCCAAGTAGGCTGCTATTAGGTCACTCTTTAGCCTCCTTTTTGCCATAATAAGTAACCCAAGCTCCTTTTACTTCTCCCTTTTGGTTTCAGTCTAAACTCTCTCTCCCAGTGTTCCAAGTTTAATAAAAGAGTAGGGTTATGAGAAAATATAAAGATTGCAAGAGATGCTATGTTGCATTTCAAGCAGCTTCAGGACTCAAAAGTTCAGAGTTTGAGGAGTTATGTTCTAAATACTTCACTCAATAAATGACTCAAACCTTATCTCCTCCTCAAGGCATGCAAAAAGTTACCCCGACACCTCCAATCCAATAAGGTTAGGAATACAAAGAAACAGATTATCAAGGGGTTTGCTGTTGTGACTTTTTCCAAAACCTTCCTGAAGAACCTAAAAGCAGCTGCATGGAGCAACTTAAATTACCATCTGGAACAGCGTCCTGCCTCTAACAGTGGCCAACAGCAGGTGCCTACAAAAGGATAAGAGTAAGCATGCAAGGATGTTCCCCAAGTACTTTGCCAGACTTCAGTGAGTTGTGGTCCAGGGCTGTTCCAAACAGAGGTCTTGTCTTTTTCAAGTTCAGGCAAACTCTGAGTACTCACAAATTCCCAAGACTTCAAAAACTTAAACTATAAATTGTGCAAAAAAGCCTTTAAGGTCCTGTTGCAGTAACTCAGATTTTCAGAACTTCCACAGCAGATTTGTAAGTATAATTACAGCAGCTTCTGCAGTACATTGTTACAGATGACTACTGCATTTACAAACAAAAGCAAATTCTTCAAGTAAAAGAAGCAAGGGTCTACTGGTATCATATAAAAATTTACACTAAATTGTGTTCCATTAAAAAAAAAGAAAAAATATACAAGCTCAGAAAGTAAAAAGTGGTGTATTAGAACAGAGGTGTGATTAGTTTACTAAATTTTTGCTTGCTCCACTGCACATTCTCCTCTGCAAACTTAAGGACCTTTAGGAACCCAAACATTTGACTAGAGGTCCTGCATTAATTTGTGTCAATTACTGGGAGGTCAGATATGTCACTAGATCAACAAGAACCTTACACAATTACATAGGTTTTTTTACTCTACTTTCCACTTCGTCCTTAGTGTTACATCTTTGTCTCAGTCTTTCCCTTTCCTTCAAAAGCACTCCTCAGCTGAGGCAAAAAATATCACACAACAGCAGTGAGAGCCTGCTCAGGCTGTGAATGACTGCTGAAGGAAAAGGATGGGATGAGACACCCAGATGTGTCTTACCCAGAATAATATGTATCATGAAAAATGTGCTTATTCAGATAACTCATCCAAGGCTGACTACATGCATTATGACTCAAGATTATTTTAATTTAGCCTCCTATTTTACTGCTCCTACCTTATTTCCACTTTATTTCAGTCTTTCATCAAGCATATAAAGCAACCACAGTAACCAACTAAAGATTTATGACCTTTTCCCACCTATGAGAGTGTAGGTGAGAGATACTACTTGTAAACAGCCAGTGTTTCCAAGAAACAAACAGTATTTGACAATTTTTGTATGGCAACAGGATCATGTTATGACTATTGACTCTGTAGCCACCTACTCCATCCATAGACCTTCACAGAACTCCCTTTAAGTGATGACGATGCCTGAAAAATACCCAACAGCCACATAAAGATGGGCCTTCTAACTGACAAATATGAACAAAACAGAAACCTCTTACTTCCTTACCTAAAGCATAGACACATCCCTCTCTGAGCTGTGCATGCTGTGGAATAAACTCTCAGATCTAACATGTCCAAAGGACTTCAGAAGAGGCCCCACCAAATTCAAGCAAGCTCTTGCTTCAGTACATTATGCCACCCTGCCTTCCCCTTCCCAATTACACTTAAGATTCTAGAAATTCTCTTTATTTACAGTAAAGAGTAAGGAAAAGATTAAGTGATGAAATCTACAAAGCCACAGAAATTACTTTTTTCCTCCATGCCCAATTCTCAGGTTCTCAATTCACTGCATCTTTCTACCTCATCAACAGTAACTCATAGCTCTGAGTCATCTTGCCAAATTTGACAAAATAGATTTATTCAAGTGGCAAGCCACTAAAAGGGCTAGAAATATCCTGCCTGCCACTTTCCTCAAACTAATCTCCAAACCTGTCAAATGCAGGAGAAATGAAATGGAAGAATATTATCTGCTGGCTGCATAAAAGTCTCTTTGTAACATTTTGCTACACTCAGTGTACATTCATTCAAAAGAAGATGTCCAGCTACCCAACATGTAGTGTGTCCCCAAGAAAGCAACTTGCTCAAAGGGAACTAAATTATTTTTATAAACTTCTCATATTTTCCACTGCATGAAAAAACTTTTAGGTGTTATCTTCTGCTCATCTCATATGAAATAAAAGGCTATCATGTTCTGTTTGGTTGGGGGTTTTTTAAATGTTTTTTTTGAAGACGAACAGGTGAAAGTACTTTGTGAAGGAAATTAACAGTCCATATTGCTTCTAGTTACAGACAGACATCAAGTTTTCAGCTCCTTACCTTTGAATAACAACAAATAATAAAGACCCATTTCCTTGCTCCAGACAAGCTTTTTATTTCTTTCTAGAATACGACTTGAGTGTATCCAGTGGGATCTGTAGTTCATATGCTAAGTAACTCAGGAAGACCCCTCAGTCATGCTAGAGCCCACAGTCAACAGAACACAGGACCTTAACGCAACACAAAACCAACAACAACAACAAAAAGTGTAATTTCTAACAACAGGAGACCTGACCAGTAACTATAAATTGATTTACTACTGCATACATCAATAGTTTTTAAGAAGTCACTGCACTCTTGCTAGAAGAAAGATCAAAGATATATTAATTTACTGTTCTAATAAGAAAAATCACAAGAAAGATGTACCTTTGGCAGAAGGCTATTAAGCATCTGAGTATTGGTCCAAATTACTGATTCATAAGAAACAAAAATTTAAAACTAGATGGTATATTTTAGGTGGGTGCATGTGCTCAGCCTTCATGACTATTAGCAGCCATAACTCAAGCACATGAAGAAAAATGTATCCCTTAAATACCTATTTTTTCAAAATAGCATACAATATCTCACCTTGTCCACTTCACTTATGCAGTGCATATCAGCTTCAAGTCCATGGGTACCTGCTTGCTGCCATATTTCCTCAGCTATGGCTTTTGCCTGCCCCTTTTGTGTTGCATAGAGGAGCAAAAACCTCCTTTTTAAATTACAGCACATTTCCCAAAGCAGAAAACTTTTTTTTTTTTTTTTTTTAAAGACACTGCAGGGGAAAAAAGAAGGGAAAAGAAGTGAATTTATTTCATGCAGAACAGCAAGATTTTGCTTTGCTTATTAGATTAAAAAGAGATACTTTAAAGGACAGTAGTACTGGTGTTTAACTTGGAAATGAGGCATCTACTCTGAAGAGAAGCCATTTCTCACAACCCAGCTTTGTGGGCCGGGTTGCAAAGGACTCGTGGTATTGGTCATATGTGCTGTAGTGCCCTGATGTTGCAGTAATATTGAACATCCGTGGTATTAAGAATCTAGTTTGTAAACAATACAATAGAGAAATTAGTTTCAGGAAAGTATATACTATTTTTATTACATAAGTCATATTTTCCACTTCAAGTCAGTGACTGCTTTGGCCAATTTTCTGAAGTGTATTCAAAATCAAAACAAAGTAAAACATAGACCTGGTGAAATCAAACTACAATGTATGTGAAAAAAAAAAAAAAAAAATTGTCAGTTTCTTCTTTTCTGAAATTGGTACTTTATCAGTACTAAATGCCTTTACGCTTTACTGTCCATTATGTCTATGTTCTAGAACACAAACACTGTTTTTTATTTCATATTTCGAAAAGGAGCTTCTTACAAAAGTGCATCTACAGAATTGACTGTTTAGGGTTTTTTCTCCTAAAAATAAGAAACCACCTTAGAGAAATCTGCTGTAGCATAAAATGTCACTTCCTCACAAAGTCTTGCAAGCAGCAGGATGAATGAGATGCATAACCTTATTAATTCACCTGTCCCATCAAAGTTTGAATGTGAGAAGTTTTCTTTCATGATTTTGACACGGACAGAACACAACAGATGTAAGGACAACTTCAAGAAGCAGTGAACAAGAGAGACAAGTAGAACGTCCCACATGCGTGTATTATAAATTAATCTTCTGTCCATATTTTGTCGCTGCTAGGGAGCTGCAGTAGAACTCAAATACCTAGAATTACAACTGAGTAATTTTCAGTGCCCAACTCAATATTTTTTTCACATGCCTGGGCCCAGTTTGCTGTACTTCACCTGCTGCTCCCATAGATTCAACTGCATTCAGTGTCCTAGACACACACACCGATTCAGAGAAACCTGTGACTAAGTAATTTGAGGCGCATCTTTTTCGTTTTTCTCTCAAAGGAAAACAAACATATCTCAACTGTGTAAGAATACTGCACTCTACTGATTTGACATGATATTTCTCCCCACAGTACTGCGGAAGATTTCTCCTATTAGATTTCTTTTTTTTTAAAGCACACTTGCAAATCAAAAGCAGTAAAAACTAAGCTATAGCCTCTTAAGAGTACAATGCCTGTACCATACCAGAATTCCATGAAAAATGTAATTACTAGAAAATTTTAAGGCCTTCCTTGTATTTTGTTCTATTACATTTTCCATTATAGTTTTCATTTTAAATCAATTACATTATATAACCTAAAAATACTAATAATTACCTCAACAGTTGCTTTCAATAAATTCATTTAAGCAACCAGCTTCATGTGCATGTGCACAGAAGAAGATGCATATGCCAAAACAATGCACAAAATGATTTTTCACCCTCGTTTTCCAAAAGAAAAGAAATTTGGTGACACACAAATTACAGCGATTCCTATGAAATAGTTTAAATACAGTTTAAATACCCTCAGACCCCTGTAGCTGTACAGAGTTATCCTAGTCATGTGCTATGCTTTCACCCTAATTGTTTTGTCAGCAGGTGGCAATGTCTGACTATAGATGGAGAAAACCAATAATGATACAGTGGAGTTTCATTACTACATTCTTCCTTATACCTCATAAAGGGAGGAATATAATCAGTTTTCCACTGGGACCACACCATAGCACAGAAGTCTTCTACACAAATAGCTGAGGGGTAAGTTGCCAACATTATAGCCAGGGGATTACCAACAGACTTCAAACAAGAGTCAGCTTGGGAAGGTGCTCTGAGAAGCATGAAAATTTGCAATAGCAGAGGGAGAGGGCAACAGAAAGAACAGCAGTCACAATGGGGTTTAACATGGCCAGATGTCGCCCTACCAGCACCAAGACCTCTGTCTAGGCCAGGCAGAGCAGCCCCCCCGTAAGACACTGTGAACTGCTTCTACTCCAGCTAGTACAGTAACAGTAAAGGGTTCAAAAAGTAGCTACCCACATTTTGTCTGCATGTATGTGAACTTACAGGGAGCTTTCTCACTGGTGTGTCACCTAGTAGACTGCATAGACACATGAATTAGAGCACCAACATCTCTCACAGAAGGCATGTCTAAACAAGAGGACCCACAAGGCCAGAAGAGGGGATTGCGATTGAGATGCCTACTTCCTGAGAGGGGACTGTGCTTGTACGTGACAGCGCAAATGTGTGCTCGTGGGAAGAGGGGAGGCCACAATTAGACAATTCCTTGGAATTAGATACTGAAGGCATTATTAACAGGTGGCCAAGAAGGCCAATGGTATCCTGGCTTGCATCAGAAATAGCGTGGCCAGCAGGGACATAGAAGTGATCTTACCCCTGTACTCGGCACTGGTGAGGCCACACCTCGATTCCTGTGTTCAGTTTTGGGCCCCGCACTACAAAAAAGACATTGAATTACTTGAGCATGTCCAGAGAAGGGCAACGAAGCTGGTGAAGGCTCTGGAGCACAGGTCGTAGGAGGAGTGGCTGAGGGAACTTGGGTTGTTCAGTCTGGAGAAGAGGAGGCTGAGGGGAGAACTCATTGCCCTCTACAACTACCTGAAAGAAAACTGCAGAGAACTGGGGATGAGTCTATTTAACTAAGTAACAAGAGATAGGACAAGAGGGAATGGCCTCAAGTTGCGCCCGGGGTTTAGACTGGATATTAGGAAGCATTTCTTTCTAGAAGGGGTTGTTGGGCCTTGGAATGGGCTGCCCAGGGCAGTGATGGAGTCCCCATCCCTGGAGGTGTTTAAGAGTAGGGTTGACATAGCACTTAGAGATCTGGTGTAGTTGAGAAGGGCCAGTGTTAGATTAACAGTTGGACTAGATGATCTTCAAGGTCTTTTCAAACCTAGATGATTTTGTGATTCTGTATGTGCCTAGTATCATATCTGTTGCATTGTTGCTATTGATCTTGAATATATAGTTCAATTAACTGACTAAACAGTAGTTAAATTAACTGCATGACAGTTAATTATGTCATTCATTGATCAATAAACTCCTTTGATCCTGATTCGATCTGAACTATTCAAGGAGTTTCTTCCTGTGAGAGCATCTTTTCTGTCATCAACCAGAGGAACTTCATGCACAAACTGACCAAGTGATGCCTGCTAAAAGGAAAATCAGCCACACCTACCTGCAGATGAACACAATCATAAAGTACAAACAGACTTGGGCTCAGATGAACATACTGCCCACATTGTCCTTGCTCTGCGGTGCTACACGCTCTTCAAAGATGATATGCCACTTTCACTTATACAAGTTCAACTGAAATAAAGGGGAAAAATGATAATTCTTGACTATCGAGTTTTCTAAAGAATCCCTCTAATAGTATTACCACACTAGCAGCCTTTAACGTTGATGTGTTGGTAGTGGCATGTCAAAAACCAAACCAATGCTTAAGTTCAGACAACAACCCAGCAATTGCTGGCTCACAGCAGGACTTAAAATGAAACTAAGGATGAAATTACAAATTATAGCACCTCTGAACCAGTACTCAGAAAACTAACAGTCCACAAATGATTAACAGGGAGTCCATCTATTCCATAACTCAACACACTGTAGGAGCAAACAAGCCACACAATTTCACTATACCTGATGTGATGGCCCCAGCAATGACACAGTTATAGTAAGGCCAGACTACCTACTTCATGTATCATACTGGTCTGTCAAGAATGCCAAACTGCATGGCCATGGACAGGATAAAAACCTCAAGAAACGTCTACAGTAGCTTTACATATTTCTGCGTGCCTTTAAACTGGGTTGTGGGACTGTGCCTTAAGAGCCATGAAGCCATTTCCATGTCATTTTTTAAGTTAGTGCCTTACTCATAATCACTTTCACTCTATAACCAAGACAAACATAAAAACCGTTAAAACTTGAATGAAACATGCATATGAAACCCTCCGGAGCCCAGGGCTGACCCTTCGCCCAGAAAAAAATGGTTGGATCAACCACTGAGAAGGGGGAGAGCTGTCCCTGACGAAGGACAGTGATTTTAGGGACCTAAAGACAAGTCCACACCACAGGCCTGAAAGCCGCTGCAGCAACAGAGCCCCCCGAACACCCGCCGGTCCGGGCCATGCTCCTCTCCTCTCCTCGCCTCGCCTCCCGCCCGGCGCCGCAGCTCTCCCCCGAGCGCGCACCCGACGCCCACCTGCCGGGAACGAAGCTGCTCGCGGTGAAGGACGCGCTTGTGACCCACGCGTACACAGGGACAAACTCGGCTCTGGAAATAACACCTCCAGCGGCAGCTAGAGCAGGAGGCGGCCACGCCGGGGCAGGGCGGGCCGAGCCGCGCCCCGCAGGAAAAGTGGCCGCCGGGAGGGCGCCGGAAGCTCCCGGCAGGCTCTGCGCTGCCCGTCAT